CTTTGAGAGGCAGTGAGCTGCTGCAGCTCTGTAAGGAACAAGGAGCACTGATTAGGGCCTGGAAGGCCATCTTCAGAACAGCTGTGGCTCTCTGACTGAGTGCATCCTGGGCCCTGGGCTGCAGTGTGTGCTGGTCTGCAGAGGCCCCCAGTGCCTTTGCAGGGGCAAGGAGGAGTCTGGTCCATGTTACACCCAGAAAGGCTATGCCCAGGAATGGCATTAGGTACTCACTCATTCTTTAAACAAATTTTAAAAATTACCAAAACAACACATTGATAAAGATCATTCACACTAAGAAAGTCATCTATAAAGTAAAAAGTAAAAGTCATATTCTTCTTCTGCACCTGCCCAGAGGCACCCACCACTAGCAGCTGGCACACATGCAGTTTCAGACGTTCTCATCCACACCCATAAGCAATGTGCTGTAGATGGGAGAGGGCAGCACTGTCTCGTTTTTAGCCAAAATGGGAGCATCTTATACGTATTGTTCTGTACCCTGCTTTCTTTCCAACTGAAAATGTCACAGATCTTATTCAGTGGCAGCAAATGTGAAACTCCCTCATTCTTTCTGGTGGCTCTGTGGCATGCACAGATGCCTGGGTGATTTGCTGAGTATTGCTGGGTGCATGCTGATGTGTGTAGCTGTGCCCTAACTGATAATCACTGAGGTGGTTTCTCCCTTTTACAGATGGCAGAGTGGGAAACAGCCTTCCACTTGTATCTATATTCACCCATCAGCATTCTGAAACAGGCATGCTAGATGTGGAGCTGCTAGGGCACACTGTGACTTTCCCGTAGCCATGCTGGGAAGCTGCTGAGAAGGCTGCTTCTGCCTTCCACCCACACTGTGGGCATGGCTATTTTCTCATTCTCCCTATGCCAGATATTGCCAGTCATCTTTTATTTATACTAAAGTGACAGGTGAAAGATGGTGTCTTTCAAACATACAGTTCTCTACTTGTCAGTTCTCTCAGGTTCTGGGTCAGCCAGCCAGGCCTTCAGGCTTCCCACCCAACTGATCAGTCGCTCTCTGCCTCCGCCTCTGCTTCCTGAGTATCAGTCCGGATCCCACTCCGTTTCCCCAGCACAGCATGCACTGACTTGATCTATGAGGAAAAGCTGCCTGGCTTTGGTTTCTTGGGAGGAAGAGGCTGACCACATGTGCCCGGGACCTGCTCAGTGTCCTGGGCTTCGAGGAGGCCGCATGCTTTTCTAATCCTTTCCTCGAGATGATTGGGGTGTAGGCCCCGTCATCACATGGCTTTAGAAGGGAATTCTAATTCCATTCCCTCCACAAGAGTGCTTCCAGGAGGCTCTGGGTATACCCCACTGCACTAAAGCTCAGGGCAAATGTAGTCAAGGAGCCCTCTTCCCATTCTGAGATGTGCCTTAGCTTTAGAAGGGAAGGGAGCAGCCCTTGACCAGCCCACCAAGCCAGATTCATCATGACCATCAGTGAACAGGGCATGGGACAGCCAGATGGCCGCCCATCCAGGAGGGGCCGCATGTGGAAGTGCTTTGGGAGGCTATGCAGATGGGAGGTATAATCCAAGTCTGGGCTGCCATGTGTGGACTCCGCTGACCCAGGATACCCAGGACAGGAGAGAGAGGATACCTGAATGTCTCAGGGATGGTTGGCACCAACACCTGTGTCCACAAGGGATGGAATCCCAGGCAAGGGCTGGCTCTGGTCTAACTCTGGGATCTGAGAGAGACTAGGGTTAGCACGTCCCAGTCCTGGAGGTGTGGGAATGTGGCATGAGCCGCCACACCCATGACGCAGTTACCAGACAGTATAGACTAGGACTGGGGCCAGGAAGAACTGACACACAGTTTGGGTGTCCCCGAAGTGGGACACTCTGAGTGCTGAAGACAGGAGATGCTAAGCCTGTAGGTTGTAGATCAAGTGGGTTTCTGTCCCATAGGAAGAAGAAGAAAAAGGCAGGGGCCACTGGTGTTGGCCCTGGCAAAGGGTAGAAGTCCCCAGAAGCTGTGAAATATTCTCCATCACTGTCCCCTGTTACTCTGTGTCCATTGTGCTGAGGCAAATTGGGCAAACAGCCAGGTACTGGCTTCCTGACATCCAGCTGTTCTGCACAGATGTGCAGGCTGTCCGGTCTCTGAGCAGTAGGCTGCATACCAGCATTGGTCTCGGATGCAATGCTGAGTGATGATGGGTGAGATGGGAACTCTAGTGGTTTCAACTCCTCCTTGTGTATGGTAAGGCAGGAACAGAGGAATTGGACCAACTTGAGTTAAGTTCCCAGTGTCTCAGGCTGCCTGTTCCTGGGAAAGTCACTTATATTTTTGAGCCTTGGTTTTCTTGTGTTGAAAGGGTCCTCATAGAACCTATCTCAAAGGGCTGTTGTAAGAATTGAGACATGTATGCTGCCTCGTATGTGGAAAGCACCCAATAGATGGTAGATGGTATTAGTGTTAGGCAGAGCAAAATATAGCAAGGAAGTCCCCTGCAGTGGAGATCTTGATGCCCCTTGCATGCAGAGAGATTGTTGAGAAGTCCAGCATGCCCAGGAAGGTAGGAAAAGGCCCATCAGGGCATATCCAGGTGTCATGTTTAGTGACCCAGCCAGGCTAGATGGGTTGGTGTGTACTTTTGGGAAGAAGGCAGGAGTCAGCAGGGGAGGAGCTGGGGAATAGGACCTCACTGATGAGTAATGAGATGGAATCCATCTAGCTGGTAAAGTTTGGTCCCCAGACAGGATGGGACGCCAGTGATAACCTTATTGGATAGAGTCCCGGTCTGTAATCCCTACTTCTTTGGATTCTGGTTTTTTGTTTTTTGTTTTTGGTACCAGGGATCGAACTCTGGACCTTGCGCTTGCGAGGCAGGTGGCAGAACCACTGAGCTAAATCCCTGGCCCTATTCCCTACTTCTTTGGGAACCTGGCAACCTCCCCTGCCTCTTGCCCAGCGTTGCCCCTCAGCAGCAGTGTTCATTTCACGCGGCTCTACTGCTAGGCCCATAGGATCAGGGTGGACACCCAGCCTGGCCAATCAGTTGGATCCTCTGCCTGGGAATTAGCAGGGAATGTAAAGTGTACTACTGAAATCAGGAGGACAGTGAGCCCAGGATGGCTGTCTGGTGCCATGTGCTGGGACAAGCAGTGAGAATGAATAAACACTGAGAAACACAAGAAAAACCCTGCAGGAAGAAGAGAGGAAAGGAGCCAGGAAGGATGCTGGGATGCTGCCTTGCTTCTTGAAGGAGTTCAAGGCAGTTTCTGGTTCCTAGCCCTTGTAAGGACCTGCTGTGTCCCTGCCAATGGACTTGGGGCGATACCTTATGTCCTTATGTAACCAGCTTATAAAATGAGCTGGAAGCCATCAAGTGTAACAAGAAACCACTCTTATTTTTCCTCCAGTGTCCTCTTCAGCCTGCTCTGTGGATAATTCTTTTCCCAGTTGAGGCTAAGAAGTCTTCCTGGTGTCAGACATGACAAAGCCCAGCCCTTCTAACAATGCCGCCTTGATTCCAGGAAGTCTGGACTCCTAAAGCCAACTGGCCTTAGAGACCTGGGGCCAGCGAGGGCACAAGGTCAGCTTCTTCACTGGATCCCAGCCAATCCCTCTGCCTCCCTGACCTGTCCATTGAGCTCCCTGGCCCTTGAGTTGAGTTTCCAGCATCTCCCACTCCAGGAGCTTGGAGGTCTGGGCCTTAGAATTGGGCTCCACAGCAGACAGAGGTACCCATGCTCACCCATGCCATGCTCTGGGAGGGATCAATCCTTGGATGCCTCTCTCACTTGATTTGAGGTGAAGAGGACCCCTACCCACCTGTAGTAGTGGAAGACCTAGAAGGATATCGCATTCTCTTCCATCCCTAGGGTCTTTCCCCTGCACTTCTTACCCAGGTATCTGGTGGGTGATGCTGCGAGCCAGTTTGGAGCCATCCCATTTACAGAGAAGGTCTTTACCTTGCTCTGGAATGTAGAATCCTTGGTGTCTAATATTCTGTCCTTAACCTTCAGAGTCTCAAGTAAAACTGAGAGAGAAAGAGTACCTTTTTATATCTGTTGCTCTTAAAATATAACCATTTTGCTTAATCTAGTTAATGTAGTTAATCTAGCTGGATTTCTCTTCCTACAAGGGTTAATAAGACTGAGATGGGATGAGATGATCTGGGAGTTTGGGAAGACCCCTTGAGCCCCCAGAGTATCTGTGGACTCTTAAGCATGGTGGACTCCAATTACCATTCCTTTCAGCAATTTGAAAGTTTCTCTTTCAGTCTTGCTGAAATTTTGGGGGCGGGGGCTTTGTTCAGTGTCCAAACCCAGGACATGGGGCTTTGGCTGGGGCAGGAGGAAGTCCAGGCCTTGTTGACTCTCATATGGGTGACAAATGTGCACACCTGGAGAACCCAATATCAGTAAAACTCCTGATTGTAGGCTTTAAAATGTCACTGGCTGGGATGGAAGACGAGGAATACAGTTGATCTGGCCTGATCAGACCCCCAATGCTGACGGATTGTGTTTGCTGGTGAGGGAACAGCCTGATACCCAAGCTCAGGGCCCTGAGCACAGCCCCCATCTCCCAGGTTCCTGTTCCATCGTCTGTTGCCTGGTAACCTGACCTCGTCCTGTCTTACTAGAGGGAGAATGGGTTCCACATTTCTTAGAGCCTCTTTCTTCTCGTTCCATACAGCCAGGGTGTGGTTTGACAAGTCTCAGCTTTGGGTGCTGGAGAGGAGCTCGGAGGAAAGCACTGGTGTCCTGGTCTGCTTTCGTATGGCTCCCAAGAGGTTTATAAAAAGGGTTGCTTCACGGTGTCCAGTTTGACTCTCTAGAGCTCTCTGCTTTGGGGCTTGGACCCAAGATGGGTGATCGGCAAGGACTCCTGAGGGAGCAGTTGGGAGCCACACGGGGAAAGTGCGCTCTGAACAGTTTGGGTGTGTGCCCCGTGCTGAATCTCCTACTTTTACTTAAAGAGACTTTGATCTGGGAGGCCCCAGGAAAGCATTCTGAAACGACACACTGTGCAGATCCATCTACATAGCACTGATGGCTTTTATTGCAGATTCATGTCATTACAAGGATAATCTGGGAATATATTAAAAAAACCCTCCCTTTTATATACACAAAACATGCTACATGGTACACTTGTGAGAAATGCTGAGGTAACAGTCTCGCACCCAGACATGGACAGTACCAAATGTCCCTCACCTTGTAGGCCTGACCTATGTGCCCACCTGGAGGGTCTCCCCCTCCTGACTCATCTCTTGCCCCTGGACTGGCCGTCATCTTGGCATTGTGGAGCCAAACAGGACTTAGGAAGCTTGCTGTGATGCAGAGCACCAACCAAGGGATCTGGAGGCCCAGTGATCCAGTAATTCTTGAGAAGCAGCCAGTTCTGTGTGTGGCCCTGTCCTCCAAGAAAGTGTAGTTCATGGATGAGGTACAGGCTTGGATTTGCCTTTGGTGGGATCTCTAGTCTGTAGCCATCTTGGGGCCCCTATGCTCTGGCATTAACTTTGCTTCAGCTGAGTGTCTCTGGCAAGGAAGGCTGCTATTTGTGTGGAGGTTAAAATGAAGTGGAAGCTAAAGTATGAATGGAAGATACAAAACTAAATACGTAATCTATGTGGTCACTGCTGTAGCTTTTGGTCTGGCCTCCCCCTTTCCAGCCAGAATCCAAGCCTGACCTGTTTCCTTCTCAGAGGTGGAAAAATCTTGCCTGGAAAGAAAGTTTCTGTGGCAGAAAAGGTAGACACAGGTAGGAAGAGAAGAGGTGCCTCAAACTACAGTGAGCAGCCAGGGATAGAGGCACAGGTGCTGGATGAATGTAAACTGGGTGGAGGGATGACGAAGAGTCCTGAGAATGGGGAAGGCATATAAATGAAGAGCAAAGGGGATTATGAAATTTGATGAGGTGCTGTAAGGAACCCCTGTGTGAGAGATGAGCCTTGTAAAACCTTCTGGAAGAATCCAAGTACACCAATGCCAGGCCAAGGATTAGTCTGTGAATTGGGGCTACACAGCCTGTGATCTGCCCATAGGCTCAAGTCACATAGCATGAAGGAAATGTTTTCTTCCTAAGAGCAAAGCTGTTAGCAACAGCTTCAACATCTGAGAATTGAACAGAATATGTATAGGTTTATATGGCAAACCACGTATGTATCTGGACATATCACAAGGGACGTGTGTCTAAGTGCATACACGTGAGGTATACACCTAAGTGCACAGGGGAGGCTCATACACTGTATATTATAAGGATAGTCTGCAGTTGTGTTTTTATTGTAGAGACTTCATTTTCTTTTAAACAAAGTTGTCACCAGTCTTGTCCCGTTCTAGAAACATGAGGGGCTTTCTGGTGTGAAGAACAGTAGGAGGGACAGAGAACACTGTATGAGTTCAGTTCCTTTATCTGGCACAGTGACTTGGGAAAACAGAGTCCAGGGTCCTAGTCCTCCCATCCCCGAGAAGAACTGGCAAGGAGTTGCTCGTTGTGCTGGGCCTGCAAGGCCGGGGTGGGCTCCTGGAGATGGCCACGCAAGGTCAGGAGGGGAGCAGGTTTAGTGGAAGGTGTTAGGGTTGGGCCGGATCATCATCACCACTTTCTTGAGTGAGTAAGATCCTCCTCGGAATTCAGCCCAGTATACCCCATCCTGGTAGCGACTTCGATAATGGCCCCCACGGTACCAGACCCCGTTGAGGTTGGAGTGGGCACAGGCATTATACCACCAGCCTCCCTTCTGGTAGTGAGCGCAGTTTCCTGCAGGAGAGAAGAGAGTGAGCAGGTGTCTGGGCAGGGTGCTAGGGTCTCCCCCAAACCCTCTGTGGGAGGTCTTCAGAGCAAGAACACTGGAAAGACGGACCCTCTACAGCAGAGGTCAAAGCCAGGCTTTACACCTGCTCAGACCTGCCTTCGGGGCTCAGTTAGCTGTAAAGGTACAGACAAGTGGCTTGACCTCTCGAAGCCACTGCATTCTTATCTGTAAAGGTAAGATAAAGATGCCTAAGGCATAGGATGGGCTACTGTGAGGATGAAATAAGGGCCAGTGTTTAACTCTCAGCCCAGCCTCTAGTCCACACCATAGGTTCTGCAGAAAATGGACATGGGCTGCAGTGTGTGGGGGAGAGGGAAAGGAGTTCTTCACAGGATTTTTTTTTTTTTTTTTTGGTACTGGGGATCGAACTCCAGATCTTCTGCTTTTGAAGCAGGCGGCAGACCCACTGAGCTAAATCCCTGGCCCCTTCACAGGAATTTTTAAGAGTTGAAGGTATTGGATCAAGAGTCTTTTGACAAAGGAAGTATTTAAGAAGAAATACCCCTCTTTTCTTCCCCAGCCTATACTCCATCCAAATAACTTTTTGTGTTATTTCATAAAAGGAGACTATTTCCATGAAACTCTTGGCATTATCACATCATGCTGAGCTTTGCTGCCAAGGACAAGCAGTTCGGAACAATGAGATGCGTGGGCAAGGTGTGAGCAGGCGTGCAGGGACATTGCTCCCCAGGCAAAAGGAGCAAGAGGAGCCACAGTTAACGTGGGCTGCGTTGGGGAGCCTGAGAGGGGACCTCTTCCTCAGGGAGGGGCTGCCAAACCCACTGGGGTTGGAGGGCCTGATGGAGGCAAGGCTGTGGGATGGGGCGAGGAGGTCACAGGCAGTCTGAAGCAGAAAGTTGAGGTTTCCCAGAGTTTGGGGGGCTCCTTCTGGGCCATGACTCAAGGCCACAGGCACCAAGAGGCAGTGCTGCATGTTTGGAGCAGGGAGAGCCCTCAGCACACCACAATCAGAGTCCTGTTTGTGCCGCACATCAGGGCCAGGAACCCATCTGAGAGTTTTAGGTCATAGAATGCTCTTATCTCTGCTCCCCATGGTGGCCCTCAAGAAGTGCTGCAGCAGCCACTCCATTGTGTCCCAGGGTCTGACAAGCACTGAGGGCCCTCCTGCTGCCCAGCCGTCCTGGAAGCCTCAGCAGCCCTAACCGGAGACCTTCTGCCATGGAGTGAGGACCTGCTCCTTGTTGGGGTCCCGTCCAGCAGGGTCAGTTCAGTGTCAGTGAGTGCACAGAGATGTCTGTGTGGTGTGAGGATGGACAGAGCCCATCCTACCTATCCCCCGATGTTGGGAGAAGCGTCCACATGAGTGTGGGAGTATAGTTGCCTTGGGGACCTGGAGTGAGGCACCCCACCTTGGTATATAGGTGTCAGGGCTTGCCTGAAGCACAGGTCATTTCTGGGACAGTCTGCAGAGCTGGCTCTTCCACAGTGAGAGGCGGGGGGACTTGTTGAGACCAGGACTAAACAGGAGACTGGGCAGGAGGGGTCAGGCCTGCCCAGCAGAGCAGACTCAGGCTTGGCCTGGAGGTGGTGCCAGTCTCAGGTGGCCTGACTTTGCCAACATCTCCATCCATCACCAGAGGCCCCTGTCTCAAGAAAGTGGTGTGGGACCTTGGGAGGCATCCACTGTGGGCGAGGCTGATGTCTGCACCTTGGGCCAGGCCCTGTCTGTGCATCTTATAATGTTCCATGTTCTCCCTTGTTTTTATCTGATAAGGACTTCTTAGTAAAGTCCCGGGTTTGAGGTTTATGGTCTTAGACAAATCATCATCTCTCCTGTCTGGTTTCCTTCTAGCAGCTTGCTTACAGTGTTGCATTACATTACATGTTAGTAGCAGTGACTGTAAATAGAGCTATCACTGTATGCCAAGCCCAAGTCCCAGACAAGGCACTTGAGGTACCTTCTCTCTAACCTTCTCCCTGTCCTGCGGGTGGGTATTATTCTTACTTTCAGATGTGGAAGCCCCCAAGGAAATTATGCAGTGGGCTGAGGACATAGCTTTAGAACTCAGGGCATATGGCCTGGAGTCCACTGGGCTGTGTGCCTCAGACAGAGGTGAGGAGGGCACAGTAGGGCACAAGAGTGTCTTTGCTGGCTCAAGGTGGCCCTCGTACATGTGATTTGTACACATCTCTGTGTTTCCCTTTTTGTAAAAGCCATTGTGACCCAACTGTGAAAAGGAGATCTAAGGGTAGTGGGCAGTGGAAGGGCCCTGCAAGAGGAGGAAATAAGTTCAGACAGCTTAGCATATTGCCCTGAGCCTTCCTGTACCCACACCCTAAAGTCAGGGGCTCTGGCTTTGGGTGACCTCTTTTCACTACCCAAAACCTGGGTTAGACTCCACTCTTCATACCTGTGTAGACATCATGGTCTCTGTCGAGGGTGGTGAACTGCTTGCCATTGTGCCAGGTGAAGGAGTCGCCTGCATTGCCATGGTAGCGCCCCAGCCGCAGCTTGTAATACTCGCTCTCTGGCTCCACACGGAAGCTGGCATATTCTGCAAAGACCTTGCGGCCGGACCAGTCTTCCATGGTCACCAGCAGTTTGTAGTTGCCTTGGTTCGTCAGCCAGTAAATGTTTTCCAGGCCCAGCCAGTATTCACCATCAATGTTCCCAAACCCTTGCTGTGGAAGACCAGGGAGAGCATGAGTGTGGAGCCTGCGGTGGCCCAACTAGTGTCCTGGCACCAAGACACTTGCCCCAGTAGAACAGCCTGGGAAATAAGCAGAACATGAGTAGGCCTGGCTCCATCCCCACTCCCTCACCTAATGGCTCTGACTTGATGGGTCACTTCGCCTTTCTAAGCCTCAATCATATGTCATTCAAACATACAGAAAGTGTGCCTCCTCTAAGGCAGGCACCTTCCCCACAGGCTTGTTGCAGGAGGGCATGTGATGTGGTCACGCAAAGCCTGGCACACAGAAGACATGTGCCCAGCATTTCTTGGACAGAGCCCTCACCTCCCTGAGCCTCAGTTTCCTTCTCTGGGGATATGCCATGCCATCTCTACCACACCTGACAGATGTGAGCTGTAACAGGTATGTCATAGCCACCTGGGCTCCCTTCAAGGTCTGAAACCTAGTGGTTTTGTTACTGTTTTTAACATATAGTTTTGGGGATCATCATCTGAGTAATGGCTGCCAGAGTCTTGTAAATAGATGAATGTGTTCATAGTGATAATCACTACTATGTAGTGAGCACTTTATTGTGTGCCTGCACTCTGATGAGAACTTTCCCTGGGTTTCTCTATTAGTCCTCACACCAACCCTAAGAGTGAGGTGCTGTCATTATCCTCCTAGAATGGGTAAGCCAGGACTTGAGCTAAGATATGATCTTGGTGCTGTGGCATGCCACTCCATGAGAGAGGAGTGGAAGAGTCTCCAGGAGCCCGCAGTTAGGAGGTGGAGAAGCAAGCAGAGACACAGGTTGGTCAGGAGGTGGGCTAGGGGACAACTAGGAAGGAAGGAGACCAAAAAGGGGCATGACAGAGCTATGTGTGGAGGCGCTGTGGCTAACAGTAATGGGAGTTGTGGCTTTGGGATCGGGGCCTAAGCTGCAGTCATTTCTTTGACACTCGCAGCTGTACAGCCATGAGCAAGGGACTCCCTCTTCCCACCTACAAGTAATGCCCTCCCCGAGGGTTGCTGTGAGGCTAAATGAAGTCATGGCCAAGAGCCCTGCCTGATGTCTGCCACATGGCAGGTGCTTACTGACCCGAGCTGCTCAGGCCACCTTAGTGCCATCAGTGTTCAGAGGAGTGATGTGCCCCTGAGCCCTGGCAGCCTTTCCTACTGCAAGAATGAGCAGTGAGTGCCCTGGGAACTGGGGAGCCCAGAGGATGGGCTCTGCAGTTAGGACCCAGGTATTATTACAGTTCCCATGGGAGCACTTTGGGGGAGACTCTCAAGGCCTGGGAGCCTCAGAACATGCCCTGCTGGGCTTCAAGAACAGGTCTCTTCCATGGAAACTCAGCTGCAAGTAAGATGCTGCCCACACTCCAGCTGCAGCGAGGGTCCCCCACCCCATCCTGCAGGACTTTGGTGGTCCAGACTCTTAGCTGCTGTCATGTAGCAGGTGCTGGGAGCAGATGATGGCAGCAGGCAGAGAAGGAGCTTGTCCTTACCACCCTTGCAAAAATGCCCTTGTCCTAGTCCTCCTCGGCGTGGTGTTGGCCAGTTACAGCATGGACAGGCCCTGCTGGGTCTCACCTTGTATGTCTCCCAGTTCCTGAAGAAGTTAACAGAGCCATCCAGGCGCCTCTGAATGACTGTCCAGCCCCCAGGGTCGTGTCTCTGGTCACACCACACCTGCATGAGGCGGTTGGTATTCTCGGGCTTCACCAGGTAGATGGAGCTGGTGTCATGGCCATCCTCCAGTGCCTGCAGGCAGTCTCTCCACGGGCCTGGGGACAGATGTGTACATGTCACATACTGCCTATTGCCAGGCCACACCCTGCCTGTATCCCAAATAGCATAACCTCTGGCAGGGCTCTAGTGTGGAGCCACAAGGCCCCAGCTGGGCCCAGAGCCTGGCCTGGAGTTTGAAGGAACTAATTTTTGTTGTACAAGTTTGAGAAATGATATAATATAAGATCAAGAGCCCAGGTCAAGGGTCAAGATGCTTGGACTCCAAGCCCAATTTCTGCTCTTATTCCATGGTGTGACCTTGGGCCAGCTTTCTCACACCTAACCCTCAGTTTCCCTTGTTTGTAGAACAGAGATTATTTTTACCTCACTCAAGGTTGTCAGGGTTACAGATCGTTTATATGATGGTCGTGGAGTGATTTTTTTAAAACATTAGTTCTATTGGCAAGAAGAGGTGTGAGCCTGCTGAACATGGCTCCGCCCACAGCACTGTGTGAGTTGGAGGCTTTGCTCCCCCAGCCAGGATGGTATTCACCTGACTGCTCTTCATGAGGCACACCTCAGCCTGGCTCCACACCTGCCTCTCCCACAACAGCACTCTGTGACACGCTGCACTTTCTGGCAAATGAACTTCCACAGGGTCACAAAGCCCAGGCTGGGCCCAGAACCTGGCTGTGTAGCCAGAGGCTTTGGGATGTTTCTGGGAATCACACACTGGTCCCCAGGTGTCTTTTGGGGACCAGATTCCTTTCAGCTCAATCTGTGAGTTTTCCAAAGGAAGCTCGCCGTGGCCAGATGCTCAGAGACCATGTATTCAGAGATCGTTCTATCGGCAAGTCTGTGAGCTTAAAGGATGATGTCTGGGACACACAATGCATGGTTCCCTGAAACTGAGACCAGAAGGGCTCTAGGAGTCTGAAAAGCTGTCACAGGTCTTTCAGTCCCTTCACTAGTGGCACCCAGCCTCCTTCCCCGGTGGTTTCCTATGTTCTGACTGAGTCACATCAGCAAGAATGTCCAGACTTGAGTCACCAGCATGCAGACATACTGGGTCTTTCCTATTGATCTGAGGAACTTTCAGAAGGGTTTCAAAGCCTAGCCATTCAACCATATAGTTTAAAATAATAAAATCAGCATACTTTGCTTCAGTCTCTTCAAAATATTCTCCAGACTGAGAATGGTTAAGATCAGTAATGCTAAGAAAACTCCATCTTGCTCTATTAATTTCTGTGTTCATTCAACAACTATTGAGTTCCGGACCTCACGGGAATTGCTCTGGGCCCTGAAGCCCAGGGGAAGGTGGCTGCCCTGATGGCCAGTGAGAAAGAGGTGTCCTCACCAGCGCTCCCTCAGCTCCGGGTCCTGGAGGGCCGTGTCTTTTCCCCGTGTGTTGCGGAGAGGACCAACTGTGGCAGACACACTCAGCTTTTCCCACATAGCTCCAGCTTCTCAGCCTCTCCCCTGGCTGGTGGCTGGGTCACCTCTTCCACGAGTGATGGTTATACAGGCAAGGCTTGAGTTTGGGTTCTTGTGAGATTTCAAGATCTTGTAGCCGTGTGCGAGCACCCATAGAGCCTGACAGGAAGGCAAGAGCTGCCTGGCTCTTCTGTCAGTCCCCGTAAACTGTAGGCTCCTCCCTTCATTCTCCAGGGGCTTCTTCCCTATTTACCTCTTCCCCCGCCCTCTCCCCACACAGGGGATGGGCTTTCTCCTTCCTTCTTTCCTTCCTACCTTCCTTCCTTTCCTCCTTCCCTCTCGGTTGCCCCTTTCTGCCTGTGGCCCCCTTAGTATCTGTCTTGGGGAAGGGGAGGTCCAGACCTCCAGGAAGAACATTCAGGAAGGAGAGAAAGCTTTTGGTGGTTTTTGGCTTGAGCCCCAAGGACTGAGGCATAGAATGGGAGTCTGTCCCTGACAGCTGGAGCAGAGCACGGTGGGTGTAGGAGGCTCCCAGTTCTTCCTGAGGGCAGCAGCACAGGAGGGCCCATTTGATGTGAGTGCTGGTGACCAAAGACCCTGCCTGCAGTAGCCTGAAAATGGCACCACTGAAAACAAGTCACCGAGCTCCTGGGGATCATCAGGTGGAGGGGCTGTTCCTAAAGGGGGCTCCATATATGGAGGCTTTGGAGGCAGCTGAGAAGGTGGCAGGTCAGCCTTGTGACTCATCCTGTTCTGCCTTAATGGGTACCATTGATAGTTTCAGTATTACCTTTGGCATTCCTAAAAAGGGCTGTTTTTAAAAAGCAGTTGTTTAAAAATGTTTTGGGGTCTCCAGTTCTTTTAAGAATTTGGGGAAAGCTTTACTCTCTATTCTGAAAAAACACAGAGACTCATACACTTTGTGTGTGTGTGCGTGTGTTTGTATTGGGGATCGAACTCGGGACCTTGTGCTTTCGAGGCAGGCAGAGGAACCACTGAGCTAAATCCCTGGCCCTCAGTTTTATAAAGTTTCAGAAGGCAGATGGATCCCCAGGCCCCAGGTTATGAACCCCTAGCTCTATGAGGGTCCTGTCTGGGGAGGTAATAACAGTAGCAACAATGTGCCGAGCATCTCCTACAAGCAATCCCTGCCTGACTACTTCCACCCCTCATCCCCTGACAACCCCATGGGCTGGCAGTAGTCTTCCCACTTTGCAGGTTAGGAAAGTGGAGCCCAGGGACATCAGGGGATACCTTGAGGCCACATGGCCAGTAAGGCCTGTGCTCCCAAGAGGCCTGTGTGGCCCAGCGCCCCACACTCTAGACCACTCTTCTTTTCCCCCAGCCAGGTATACCGAGGCTCAGGATCCCTGTGTCCCAAGGACTGTTTCTTAAATCTTACTCTTTTAATTTGCCAGTCATCCAGGTTAAAAAAAATAACAAAAATTTACAACTCCTCTTGGTGGAGATGTGAAATCTCTTTTTTAATCTTTATTGATTACTTGGGTTTTTTTTTTCTTATGTCTGTCTGTTGGTGTTCTTTACCCATTTTTCAACTATTTTAGTGTCTTGTGACTTGGAAATTTTCTTTTCTCTCTTTCTTTGTTGGGGGCATCTGGTAATTCTTTAAGGACTTCTAGAATTGTGTAGATATAAAATAGTATGGAAGTGTTTAGCATTTCCTACTGTTAGAAAACTCTCCACACATCCCTGTGCTTCCCATGACTCTGGCATCTGCCAACTTCCATCAAGAACCATGCCTCCATCTTCCTTCTGAAGCTTTTGTAGAACTCTACCTAGTCTCCTACATTCAAATGCATTTCTTTTTCTTATTCTAAAGGTACTAGTGGGGAAGGTAAAACACATAAATGGTGGGTGAAAATTAGTCCAAAAATAGGTTGCACTGAAAAATTGGCAGCTGGAAAATGATTAATGTGACTTTATTACAATGGCTCAGTCAAAACAGGCTGCTTTTGGCCGGGGATTTAGCTCAGTGGTTCTGCCACCTGCCTCACAACTGCAAGGTCCTGAGTTCAATCCCCAGTACCAAAAAACCAACAGGCTGCTTTGGTGAGAAATCTATAACTGTAACATAGAAATAATGCAGCGATGAATCTGTCCTTGTTACATACAGATAATGCCACGATGAAGGCCAGGTGAGAGAGCCGACTTTGGTTAAGGGTTCCCTGGCTTTGGAGGAAAGAACTCCTGGCATATGGAGTCAGGGCCTGTGGCTCAACTCTTGGTGCCCTCATCCACTCACAGGGTGACTTGGGGCACATTCCTCACTGGCCCTCCAAGCCTCAGTTTCTTCTGTAAAACAAGGAAAGTGCACTAGCTGTCCTAAGGATGCCACCAGCACAGAACCCTACAGAGTCCAGCCAGAGCAGGTACTCAGCAAATCTCTTTTTTCCCTTTGATACACGAAGGCTGACTTGTTGGATGTTTTTCATCCTCTCTCCTCCAGCCACAAGTTACTGTGTTTGTTTGGTTTTTTTAATTTCCAAAACTAAATACAAGGTTATTGACTAATAGATATTTTCCACAAGTCGTTTTTAAAAGTCAGAATTTCCATGAAGGCCACAAAGATATACTGAAATAAAGAATGGAAATCTTTTTTGTCAGGAAAGCTGGATTTTCAATATGCAGTGGGCAAAGTGCTTCCCTTGGCATGGGGCAAGCACCCAGGCGGAATTTACCTTGGCTTCCCTTCTGAGTGGCGGCTCTGCCCAGAGCACCAGGCCAACACTAACTCAGCGGCACCTAGGCCCAGAGCATCATGAGTGCCCCGGCCTTACCTCTATAATGCCCACATTTACACCATGGCTGGAATGTTCCACGTGAAGAGCAGTGCAGCCACCATGGCGATCTGAGACTGTGGCTCTCAGAGGGGCATCAAAGGTGTGGGAAGTGCATGCACTTGGGAGCATAAAATGTGCTGGGCTCAGGCCCTTGGACCCCTGTACCAGTTCTGGGAAGTATTGGAGGTGATCTGGTTGGTTGTCCAAGTCCCCTTGCACCTGCTCCCTGCTCTCTGGGATTCTTTGTGGGGGGGGGGGGTTGGGGGGGCACCGGGGATCGAACTCAGGACCGTTGCTTGTGAGGCAGGCACAGCGCCACTGAACTAAATCCCTAGCCCCTCTCTGGGATTCTTTTTTTTTTTTTTTATTTTATTTTATTGGTACATTTTAGGTATACAATATAATGACATTCATCATTGGAAATTTGCACCTTTACATACCCTCTCTTGGTTCTTATTTTTTCCCCATTCCCCTGCCTTCCCTTCAACCCCTTCTCCCTCCCTATTTACAGACTTTCTTTCCATTTTTTCATCTTCTCATATTAATTCCATTCCCTTCTTTCCTTTCCCCTACCCCTCCCACTTCCCTTCCCCTTCTTGACGAAGGCATCAAGCACACAGGGCACACAGCCTCCCAGGAAACCACAGACCACTTTGTGGGCAGCCTCTAGACAGGGCCTTTCTGGTAAAGGCGAGTGGGTGCCAGTGGCCAGGTCAGGCTGGAGTATGACCTCCTCCTGTTTCCTCTCTCTGCCTTGCCCTCCCCAACTTAGGACCCAGTGTTGAAGTGGGCTCACAAAGTGCAGCAGCTTTTGATCTACC